TGTGTCAGCGTGTTACCTGTGTCTGTATGTATCTGTGTGTGTATGTCTGCATGTGCTGGCCCCTGGGCTGCCCAGGCTGGACCTCAGGGAGTGTGTGCTTGGCCGGCAGGTTCCCGAGCAGGCCCTGAGCCAAGCCCACCCCCAGGAGGTGGCTCGTCTGGGCCCTCTGCCCCTCCGGAGGAGATCTGGGTTCTCAGGAAGCCTTTTGCAGGTAGGCTGGGGCCGTAGAGGGCTGAGGCTGGGGTCCTCCCTCCAGGCACTGCTGGGGCTGGGCAGCGGCTGAGGGACTGGACAGCCTCACGCTCCTTCATGTTGACAGGTGGCGACCGCAGTGGCAGCTTGAGTGGCACAGCTGGCGGCCGGGGCAGTGGGGGCCATGCCCTGCACGCAGGCTCTGAAGGGGTCAAGGTAGGTGGGGTGGGGGGGCTGCCGGAGCGGCTGCCCCAGAGCAGCGCAGGCAAGTGGCCTTTCTGGGTTGTAGCTCCTGGCGACAGTACTGTCCCAGAAGTCTGTCTCCGAGTCCAGCCCTGGGGACAGCCCCGTCAAGCCTCTGGAAAGCCCTGCAGGTAAGAGTGGGACTGCAGCTGCCGGCCTGGTGGGGGCCCGAGCAGCCTGCCCCGTGACCCCTGCTCTGCTCTGCAGGCGCCGCCCGGGCCCAGCCTCCAGTGCCGCATGCTGGGCAGGCCCATGTGGAGCAGCTGTCCAGGAAGCAGGAGCTGGCGTCTGAGGGCAAGGTACTGGGCCAGGCCTGGCTCACGCAGCAGGCTTGGGCAGGGCAGGCCCTCGGGGCCAAGGCTGGCAGCTCTGACGGGCCAGACCCCGTCCTCTGTCTGTCCGTCAGTCTGTGTGTGTTGTATGTGCACACACACACGTGTAGGTGTTGTCTACTGTGTAGGCTGTGCGTGTGAGTTAGTGTGAAGTGTGTGCACGCAGACCACGTGGAGGGAGCATGACAGGCATAAAGGAAATGGATGTGTGTGTGTGGAGCAGTGTGATGGGGCCACGTGTGTGCATGTGTGTGAGTGTGCAAGACAGTACCAGGTGTGCAGAAGGGTAAAGTGGGTTGAGTGTGGGTGTGCACATGTGTGTCGGTGGAGGCAGTGAGTGTGGGCGTGCACTCGTGTGTCGGTGGAGGCAGTGAGTGTGGGCGTGCACTTGTGTGTCGGTGGAGGCGTGAACTGCTGATGAGGGGCTCCTGGCCCATGGATGTAGAGTCATACCCCACACCCAAGGCCCCCGCCCCAGGGCACAGAGCCCTCCTTCCTGGAAGTGGACGGGCAGCCCCTAAGTCAGCCAGCCCATGGTCCCTCCCTGAGATGGTGGCAGCATCCTGCCAGGACCTGCTGGGTGTCCCTGGGGCAGGGACGAGGGACGGGGTGGGGTGCCCTGCCACACGGACAGCAGCTGGAGCATCCAGGTGCAGATGGTGGAGAGCCGTGGGGCCCACGATGCCTGAGGAAGGTGGTGCCAGGAGAGCTGCCCGGAGCCTGGTGCAGAGGGACCGTGGACGGCCAGCCCGGCGCTGCGCGGCGAGGAGGCGGTGCCGTGTGGTGGGGTGCACGCCCAGTGGGCGGGCAGGCGGGTGAGCCCTGCAGCGGGTACCTTGTATCTTCCAGAGCGCCGAGGCGGTCAGCCAGTGGCTGGCCACGTTCCAGCTGCAGCTTTACGCACCCAACTTCATCAGTGCCGGCTACGACCTGCCCACCGTCAGCCGCATGACCCCTGAGGTGAGCCAGCCAGCCACCCGCCGCCTCACTGAGCCAGGCCCCAGCTTCCTGCTAACGGGCCTCTCCCTGCCCAGGACCTGACGGCCATCGGTGTCACCAAGCCCGGCCACCGGAAGAAGATCACAGCTGAGATCAGTGGCCTGAGCATCCCCGACTGGCTGCCTGAGCACAAACCCGTAAGGCCCTCCGTCTCCTGGCGTCCGGGCCCAGGACGGACAGACAACACGGGCTGGCTCAGGCTCTAGGGAGAGGGACACAGAGGACGGCCCTGCCAGCAGCGAGTCTCCCGGACAGCCTCCGTCTGTCCGTCTGTCCCAAGCACCGGGTCCCCGGCAGCCCCGAGGCCACAGCCCTCCTGTTGCTGGGATGTGCTGCTCACGTGTACGCAGGGCCACGGTGGGGAGGGCACACCGTGCGCACGTGTGGTACTGTGAGACAGCACGTGTCAGCCGAGGGCAGCGGGCACGGCCGCTTGTACGTACCTGGTTGGTGCCCGTACCTGCCCAGCTTGCTCACACTCACTTGCAGCAGTGTCTGCAGACGGCTGGCCTGTGGGGCCAGGTTCTGGGCTGGAAGCAAGTGGCTCTGGGCTGGGCCAGCTGCTGTCCAGTGCGTCTGCACCCACCCACAGGCTCAGCTACCACCTGCCCCCTGCCCCGTCAGTGGCTTGAGAGTCCTCTCCCCTCACGGGGATCCCTTGGTTGAGAGCCCTCGGTTGATGAATGTGCCCCATGTTGGCGTGTGAGTGGGGCTCTGTGGGAGCAGGGACACCATTCAGGGAGTGACCAGGTGTGTCTGGGTGAAGCTCATGAGTGTTGCATGTACGCACGTGACGTGGCTGGAGATGTGTGTGCCCAAGGCAGGAGGTGATGGCTGAGCGCATGCAGGAGAGACCCAGGTGGGGTGAGTGGAGCGAGGAATGGGTGTTGGTGCCTGTATGTGACTGAGCAATGAGTGGGTGCGTGAGTACACGTGTGCAGTGTGTGTGTGTGCGTGCACACGTATCCCCCGTGGCTGTGATGTGCGTCTGTGTCTGTGGCCTGTGGTGAGTTGACACAGCTGCTCTGGGACCAGGGGCAGGTGCGGAAGTGGTTTCCTCCTCCTCACCCCGCGTGTGTGCGTCTGCATTTGTCAAACGTGCCCTGAAGAGCCAGCCTGGGGCTCCTGTTCGGCACCCAGGCTGCACCCACGCCGTCTCCAATGCCGACACCTCCGGCCTGTCCGTTTGTCCTTCTGTCTGTCTGTGCTGGTTGGCCTGGTGCCCCCCCCCGCCCCAGACAGCTTGTCGTAGGCAGGTGGGGTGTGGGCGCCGGCCCAGGCTGCCCTCTGTGTCCCGTCCCCAGGCGAACCTGGCTGTGTGGCTGTCCATGATCGGTCTGGCTCAGTACTACAAGGTCCTGGTGGACAACGGCTATGAGAACGTTGACTTTATCACCGACATCACCTGGGAGGACCTTCAGGAGATCGGCATCACCAAGCTGGGTGAGGGCCCTCCCCAGTACCCCGGTCCTCGCTGCCTCCCCGCAGCCAGCCTGACCCGAGACGTGCCCCACGCAGGACACCAGAAGAAGCTAATGCTGGCCGTGCGGAAGCTGGCAGAGCTGCAGAAGGCGGAACATGCCAAGTACGAGGGGGGCCCCCTGCGCCGGAAGGCACCCCAGTCACTCGAGGTGGTGGCTATCGAGTCGCCACCCCCACCTGAACCTACCCCGGCCGACTGCCAATCTCCGAAGATGACCACCTTCCAGGACAGTGAGCTCAGTGGGGAGCTGCAGGCGGCCATGACTGGCCCAGCCGAGGGCGCTACCGCCCCAGAAAAGCCCTACACCCAGCTGCCACCCACCCCAAGGGGTGGTCTGCGGCAGGAGCCCAGCCTGGGCGGGCGAGCCCGCCACATGAGCAGCTCCCAGGAGCTGCTGGGCGATGGGCCCGTGGGACCCAGCAGCCCCATGTCACGGAGCCAGGAGTACCTGCTAGATGAGGGGCCAGCCCCGGGGACCCCGCCCAAAGAGGCCCGGCCCAGCCGCCACGGCCACAGCGTCAAGAGAGCCAGCGTGCCCCCAGTGCCCGGTAAGCCGCGGCAGGTCCTTCCACCGGGCACCAGCCACTTCACACCCCCCCAGACGCCCACCAAAGCCCGGCCGGGCTCTCCCCAGGCCCTAGGCGGGCCTCACGGTCCCACCCCGGCTACGGCCAAGGTGAAGCCCACCCCGCAGCTGCTGCCACCGGCAGAACGTCCCATGTCTCCTCGCTCGCTGCCCCAGTCGCCCACCCACCGAGGCTTTGCCTACGTGCTGCCCCAGCCTGTGGAGGGAGAGGTGGCCCCGGCGGCCCCAGGGCCGGTGCCCAGGCTGTGCCTGCCCCCCGAGGCTGATGGCGAGCCCGGGCGGCCAAAGAAACGCGCCCACAGCTTGAACCGCTACGCCGCATCCGACAGCGAGCCCGAGCGGGACGAGCTGCTGGTTCCCGCTGCGGCGGGGCCCTACGCCACGGTGCAGCGGCGCGTGGGCCGCAGCCATTCTGTACGGGTGCCAGCTGGCGCCGACAAAAACGTCAACCGCAGCCAGTCCTTCGCCGTGCGGCCCCGCAAGAAGGGGCCCCCGCCCCCCCCGCCCAAGCGCTCCAGTTCCGCCATGGCCAGCGCAAACCTGGCTGATGAGCCAGGGCTGGACGCTGAGACCAAGGGGGCTGGGCCTGAGGACGGCGGGCCAGGGGTCCGGGCACAGCGCCGCCGGGCCAGCGACCTGGCCAGCAGCGTGGACACGGGCAGTGCGGGCAGCGTCAAGAGCATCGCGGCCATGCTGGAGCTGTCCTCCATTGGGGGTGGGGGCCGGGCTGCCCGCAGGCCCCCTGAGGGCCACCCCACGCCCCGGCCTGCCAGCCCCGAGCCCGGCCGCGTGGCCACGGTGCTGGGCTCCGTGAAGCACAAGGAAGCGATCGGGCCAGACGGGGAAGTGGTGAACCGCCGGCGCACACTCAGCGGGCCCGTCACGGGGCTACTGGCCACCGCGCGCCGGGGGCCTGGTGAGCCGGCGGCGCCCGCAGATCAAGGCCCCTTTGCCGAGGATGGACCTGCACGGCAGCGGCCCCGAGGCCCAGCCAAGGGCGAGAGCGGCAGCGAGGGCCCGCCCCTGGCCAGGGTGGAGGCCAGCGCCACTCTTAAAAGGCGCATCCGGGCCAAGCAGAGCCAGCAGGAGAATGTCAAGTTCATCCTGACGGAGTCGGACACCGTCAAGCGAAGGCCCAAGGCCAAGGAGCGGGAAGCGGGCCTGGAGCCGCCCCCGCCGCTGTCTGTGTACCAGAACGGCACGGGCACCCTGCGACGCCGGCCCATCTCGGAGCAGGGCGCGCCCCCAGAGCTGCCGCCACCACCCCCGCCCGCAGAGCCGCCACCTCCTGACCTGGCACACCTGCCCCCGCTGCCCCTGCCAGACGGCGATGCTCGGAAGCCAGTCAAGCCGCCCGTCTCTCCCAAGCCTGTCCTGGCTCAGCCTGTGCCCAAGGTGCAGGGCTCCCCTACGCCGGCGTCCAAGAAGGTGCCGCTCCCAGGCCCAGGCAGCCCAGGTAGGTGCAGGGAGCAGCGGCTGCCCCCTCACATCTCTACGGGGATTTCAGAAGCCTGGGTAAGGGTGGGCAGGGCAGTGTCCCTGGGCCCTGTCATCTGTCCACCTGTGGGACAGCTTGGGAGAAAGGGGCCCACGGCCCTGCACACAAACCATGAATGGCTCCTGTGGAGGGAGGCCAGGTGCAGGATGGTCAAGGCGCCAGCGGGGAGTTACTGTCGCGACAATGAAGAGCCAGGGTAGGGTGCAAAGGCCCGGTAGCGCTCAAGCAACCCGAAGGCCCGTGTGACTGAAACAGGCCCCACCTGCAGGGGCAGCGAGGTGAAGGGGAGGCTGGCCAGGGGCGCCTAGATTCCCAGCGTGCCGGACGCGCGCCCCCTGGCGGCATGGGAGGGTGAGGAGGCGGGCAGGATCCCCGCCCGGGTGTCAACGCCGTCCTCTCCGCAGAGGTGAAGCGCGCCCATGGGACGCCACCGCCCGTGTCGCCCAAGCCACCGCCGCCGCCCACGGCGCCCAAACCGGCCAAGGCCTCTGCGGGGCTGCCCTTGGGCAGCACCAGCCCGTCGCCCGCTCCGTCGCCGGCGCGCCAGCCGCCCGCAGCCCTCGCCAAGCCGGCCGGCACTCCACCCCCAGGAGGCGTGAGCCCCGCCAGGCCTCCGTCTCCCG